CCAGCCACTCGTCCCAGCGAGGCAGAGCCGGTGGCAGCCGGGAGTGCTGGGGTGATCCAAGCCGGCATCGTGCACCGCTGCTGCCTTCGGCTGGCAGCTCCCACTCCGCCCCGGGCGCAAGGCCTTGGCAGCCTGCAGGCCAAGAAACCTCCAGGGAATGGCATTTCCACCCCAGCCCCTGGAAGCCCAAAGGTGGGCGATGGAGCGGCGCCGCGCTGCGTGCCGTGACGGGTGGGCGCAGCCTCTCCGCAGGGATGCCAGCGGCTTCTCAGCTGTTTAACTGCTTCCCCGCAGCATCCTGCCGAGGCGGCTCTGCCTCTGTTGTACAGAGCAGGACGTGCAGGATGCTGCTGCCGGGTCCTCCGCTGTCAGTAGGCTCAGTGGAGGGGCAGGTGGGTAGCTCAGGGCCAAAATCAGCTGGATGGTTCTTATCTCCTGAGGGAGAAGACTATCTTCTCCCTCCTTCTGTTGGCTGTCTTGGCTCAAACTTAAGAAGGTCTCAGTCCTAGATGAATGCAGATACCCAAGTGGACGCAGCACAGTGCTTCCCTCAGGTACAGGCTCTGGAGGCATCTCGGGGTGCCATAGGGAATCGCACCCCTGCTGCGAGCTGATACGTGCAGGTACACGTTCCTAAGCCAGCTCAAGGAGAAGGGCGAATGGATTTCCCCCAAACACCTTTGTGTGAACTGGCTGCAGGCAGCAGCTGGCGGTGACGGCCCGTTCGTGTGCTGCAGGTGTCGTGCATGTGGGATGAGATCCTGTGGCTGCGGCAGTGTGTCACCGTCTCCCAGTCATCCTGTTCCTGCATCCTGCAGACACGCTTCAAGATGCTGCTGGCCATCTCACAAATGCAGGTGAGGCTGGGCCTGGGGCGGGGAGTGAGTGCTTCCTGAGGGCACTGTGGGCCAGGTTGCCTTGGGAGCAGCACGTGTGTGTGCCGCACCCCCAGCTCTGCCAGTCCTGCCCATGGCTGAGTCGGCAGCAGGATGGGGTGCCTCTGCCATGTCCTCCCTGCCAGGACCCTGGTCGTGAGGCAGTGGGGCGTCAGGCTTCATGGCACTCTTGTGCAGAGGGTCTGGGGGCTGTCAGTGAGTGCTTGTGGGGTAGGCTGCTTTCCAGCAGGTGGAGGGGAGACACCCCCCAGTCACCTTCTGGCTGCCCATATCCTCAGAGTACAGTGCCTCAAGGATGACCCCTGACTTGCTGCTTTCTCCTGCCCCCCATCCCATCGTGCAGGGGCTGCTGGGCATCCAGGACCTGGGGCAGGTCTTCTTTGAGCCTGTCAAAGACAAACAAGGCAACATCCTCATCGTCACCCTGAAGGAGGTGAAGACCAACCAGACCTTTGAGAGTGTCCGCTGGGTTCCCATCTGCAAGCTGCAGACCAGCCGCAAGTCCGTGTCCTCCCTGGAGGAGCCCACTGCTCTGGACACACTGCTCATCTCCATCCAGGTACTGCACCGGGAATTGCAGTGGGCTCCTTTGCAGAACTGTCAGTGCTTTCTGCTCCCCCTCGGACTGGGAAGGCCACGGCAGAGCCTGAGCTGAGGGTTTGGCCCTGGCTGCAGGCAGAGGGGGAGCAGAGCCCAACCAGCCTGCAAAAGCCCTGTTGCTTTGAGGGGTGGCAGCAGGCTGGCACTGGATTCATCCCAGCAGCACCAGATTGTGCCTGCTCTGCTGCTTCCCTTTGGCTGGCTGGGCTGGCTCTGCCACAGCAGCCAGCGTGAGGGCAGGAGGGAGCCTGTTGTGAGGACTCGCTCAGTCCAGCCCTGCCTTTCTCCTCAGGACAAGCTGGCTTACCACCAGCAGAGCAGCCATGCCCTCTCCCCGGGCCTCTACCTGGGCTACTTGAAGCTCTGCAGTGCCGTGGATCAGATTCGAGTGCTGGTGCCGGAGCAGCTCCCCAACATCCTGTGCCACGTCAAGATTCGCTCCAACCCCAACATTTCCAGGTGGGGCTTGCAGGGCAGCTCACCCGGGGCAGCCAGGCTCCTCAAGCACCCATCACCTCCTGCTTCTGCTCCCAGGCTCCTGGCAGCAGCATAATATTCCCTCCCGGCCCTGCTGCCTGGCATGCCTGGTGACCGAGAAAACCAAGGTCCCCCTCTACCTCTGCACGTCCCACATCCCTTGGGGTGCTGCACTGCCTGGGGAGGAGCAGCCCAGTAAACAGCTCTCACAGCGAGTGCATGTTCAGGTCCACCCCGAGCTGCTCCCTCCTGCATGTGCCTGTCTCTCTCTTCTCCAGGGAGGAGTGGGAATGGCTGCAGAAGATGGCCAGCGTGGAGGAGCCTGTTCCTGCAGAGACAGAGGCTGAGACCTCCCAGAACCACTTGTTTCAGGAGCTCCAGGTGGCCATCAAGGAGCTGATGACCCTGGTCAACATCCCATTGCAAGAGGTAGGAGTCAGTGCCGAGGTCTGGGGAGGAGGAAGGGGAAGAAGCCATGCAGCACTGTGCTGGTCACTGCAGCAGGTACGGCCCTGCAGCGCCTGGTCCCTCCTTGGGGGCCCGAAGCCTAGACTGGGTGTTAGTCCTGTGCAAATAGAAGGCAAGTGGTGGGCAATCAGCATCAGAGGCACCTGCCTGCCCAGGGAAGGTGTCCACAGGAGCTGTTTGTCTTACCCTCACTTGTACTTCTGAAGCAGAGAAGGTGAATCTGGGTTTGCATTATTGCCTGCTGTGTGGTTTGGTCCTGGGCTCAGCCCTTGCAGCACGAGACCGGCCCAGCTCTGTCCCTCCAAAGCAGGATGGTCTCTGGGCAGTGATGGGACAGAGCTGCAGCCCCCTAGGACAGACTGCATGAGGAGAAATCCCTCCTCCGCCGTGCTGAGTGTTCGCTGGGAAGGTGCCCCCCAAGCCCCAGCTCCAGGCGCGTGCTGCTGGCCGGGCAGCTGTGAGGGCACCTCTCTGAGCAGGGCTGAGACCAAGGCTGGTGGCACTTCTCTGAGACCCTGTGGTAGTGACTTTAACCAGTAGTTCACAGACTTTTAGGAGAAGTAAGAGAGAAAGATGTGTGCGCAGATTATGCCAGAAGCAAGGAGCCCCTGCCTAGGGGCAGTCCATGAGGACTCCTCTGCAGACAAGGACTCGGTGAAGGGCCCACCAGGCAATGTTTGCAGCTCTTACCTGCAGTGTCTTTTTGCAGGCCAAAGATTTCCGCCTGTATAGCCAAGAGGTGCTGGACTTTGGGGGCCAAGTCTCCTTCCTGCTGCTGCTTCCTCCGTCAGACGACGTCTGCACTGCTCCGGGCCAGAACAACCCCTACACCCCTCGCTCCGGCTTTCTCACGCTGCCGCTGCAGATCTTCGAGCTAGGTGAGGAGAGGGGACATCCAAACCCAACCTTGCTGGTCTCCTGGTCCCGAGACCTCCTGAGAGCTGGGACGGGCAGTGGGGTGGGCTGGAGCTCCCTCATCTTTCCCAGAAGAGGAGGGATGGAGGGGGATGCTGAGGGCTGTCCAGGCAGGCTAGAGGGCAAGCACTGCCTCCTCCCTGTGTTGGGTGAGCAAGGAAGAGCCTGTAGGCCATCCATAGCAAGGGACCTGATATTTTTCATTCCCCCCTCTTGTTTTTATCTCTCCCCAGTCCACTTCTTCACATACGACCGGGAGTTCATCATCCAGTACTGCCAGGTGTCTGCCCTCCTGGAGCTGGAGTCGCTCCTCTCTCAGCAGAGCCTCAGGGAGGCTTTCTCCGATGCCGAGCTCTCTACCGCAAAGCAGAGGCACCAGCAAGTGCAGGACTACATCCAGGTAGTGGGAGCGTGTTGGGAGGGAGCCAGGCTCAGTGGTGCCCAGGGGCCGTGGCCAGGACAGCCATGCCCGGGATGAGCCACAGGAGCATCCTCACCAGGGTTGGTGGCGGTGGCCCCGGGGGGTCTCTGACATGGCAGACAGGCAGGGCTTTGGCTAGAAACTTCTTACAGCAATGATCACATTAAAAATCACGCTTAGAGTGCCGGGGGCTCCTGCTCTGCAGGTCCCCAGCTTGCTAGGAAAGGTCTGGGAAGTGCATTTTGGGATGAAAAAACACCCAATGCTACCCCGTTTCCCAGCACTCCGGCCTGCAGCAGGCAGGTCCTGCTGAGCTGGGAGCTGCTGGTGGTCAGAGCAGCATCTTCCCACCTGAGAGCACTTCCTTGGGATTGCCTGACTCAGGGCTTCCCCCAAGCTTTCTCCTCTTGGGAAAGGTTTGTGGAGACCCTGTGTTTTGCTCTGGGGCTTTGTTCTTGTTGTTGTTCACTTTTTGAAAGGGATCCTCCTTTTCCCATTTTGGCAGCAAATGGAGGAGATCTGGCGCGAGATGCGCTGGATTATGGATGCCTTGCAACACGCCCGGTACAAGCAGCCCTCCTGCGGGATCTCTCTCAGCGGCTTCCTCAGCGAGGCTGGCAGTGCAGTCAAGGAGAAAACCCGATCCGCCTTGTCCCACCTTGACTACCTT